GAGTCAAGTAAAACGGTGGGGTGCAACCTTAAATACATTACCGAGAAAGTAAACTTTCCTGCCGAAGGCTTCGCTTCTGTAAGCCAGCCTTCACTGCAGGAGACAGAGGCTGCTGAGGGAGGAGCTTGTGCAGGGAGCGGGGAGAGGAGAGACCTGGAGTGGAGCCCCTACCTTCTCTCCTCCTCTGGGCCTGAAGATGGGACGGTAGCTCAGGCACCATCTCTACGCGCCCTCTGCCCCTCTGCTGGCTCCAACCCTTCAATTCTTCTTCACCGCATCCCACCCTAGGTCCACAGGGCCAAACAGTCAGTGGTTACTACACACACACTCACCCTGTACCACTCTCCCCGAGCATCTGCTCCCTCTCTGGGCTGAAACACAGGGCAAGGCCGATAACCTGTGAGCAGGGCCACTGAGACGGCCCGCTTTTCATTTGGGGCAGGGGGTGAACATGGCCGCCAGCAGCCTCCCCGGCAGCTCCCAGCCCACGTGTCACAGAGCTGGACACTCCATCCTCGCGGCTGCTCTGGAGCGTGAAACAGGCAGAGGCCGGGGAAGGGTGTCCCTGTACATGTCCTATGGGTAAGCTAAGAAGGGGGGCCCCAGCGCCATATCCCCAGCCTTCATCAGGCAGAAGGGGGGTCTCGGGGATAGTCCCCGAATGTCCCGCACCCACTTTGGGACACGTGGAGCTACTTGGTTTGGACCCTTGCTGGAGCCCGAGCAGGGAATTCCCAGCTGATGATGCCTTTGCAAACCCATCCGCCTGCAGCTACATAAAGTTCAAGTTAGAGAGCTGGGGCAACAGATCCTGGGGTGGGGTCGTCATAGGTTTTTCTCATCTGGACATGCCCTGAATGCTTTTGTTTACTTCTGTATTCGCAGTGTTATGAAAACACAAGGCACAAACCAAGGACCCTGCAGTGGAAATGGGCACGCAACATCGTTGTGAACCTCCCTGCGAGCTGCGTGTGCCATCCCTTCTAGATGCCAAAACAGGCACTCAGGAGGAGCAGACCTGGTCCCTCCCCTACCCCCCAGCCCAGCACAGACAGAAACCACAACCCTCTAAAGTGGGGGAGAAGAAAACATGTATTGGGGAACCATAAATATCTTGGCTGGGAGAAGCCCTTAGCACACAGAGGATCTGCTAACCTGGCATACACTGACTATTTTCTTGGATCGTTTTCCTACTAAGCACGGCGGCAGAAGCCTGTTCTAGTTGACCAGACAAGACATATTCCCGAAGACAGTGCCGGGGGCAGTGGTGAGGACAGCCTGAGGCACCCCACATCCTTGGCACGTGCTTCTGGGAACTGACTGGGGGCACGGGCTCACTGGGGGGCAACGCCCGATTGCTGATCTTGAATCCCATATTTTTCCAGAGATTTCTGCATCTGTCCCTGATCCACCTATTCCTGGTAGGACGACTCTGGCCCTCAAGGGTGTGTTTGTGGTGGCAGGCGGTATCACTCATCACTCTCCTGTGTTCTGAGTAGAAAGGAGCCCTGTGGGGTAAGGAAGGTCCATCAACTGGGCCCTGGATTTCTTTCTGTGAACTTAACTTCGAGGCATGAAGTCCTTGCTGAAGGGCCATTTTCTCCTCTAGAATCTCGCCAACAGCTGTCATGAGCGCATGAGCCTCGGCGGCCCCCCTGTCCATACAGACTGATTTGCTTTTGACTACTCCACGGCTCTGGCCAGAGGCTAATACAGGCTTTGCTTTTTGTGGGGGCTCATCTTGCCCTTTGTCTTTTTTATTGGGGAAAATCCACTGGACAAAGTGTTTCATCCTTTTTTTGAAGTGGCCTTCTGCAGGAGCCTGTCCTTTCTCTGCTGGGAGCTGAGGGGACTTGATCCCAAGGGACTCCACCAACTTCTTGTCCTGGGCAGGCTGGTTCATCCCCTGGGCTGGGGAGGCACCCAGTCGTGCCAGCCCTTCTTCATGCTCTTTTGGTTTGGGCTTCCTGCAGTTCCTTCTCTCATCAGCGGGGGCAGAAATCTTGCTCTGGCTCTTCCATGGGTCCTGAAGGTTTGGGATCTTGGGATCCTGCTGCCTCAGGCTGCTCCCTCCAGGCGCCATGAGGTCACTGAACACCTGGGAAACTGGCATGTCCTCACTGGACATACTCTGGGGACGGGAGTGAGAGGCTTGAGAAGCCAAGATATCTGAGGCAAGGAGCACATCAGTGGCACAGCCTCGAAGAATCACTTCAGTGGCACAGTCCTGAAGGAGCACGTCAACGGGACGGCCTTGAGGCTCGCTCTCTGTCCCGACCTCCACTCGGAGCTTAATCTCACTAAGCAACCGTGCTTTAAGGTATGTCCTTCCCGGATCTCCAACAGACATTCTAGGAGGCGGCGGGCTTTTGCTAGTCCCTGGAGTCCCCGAACCCCTCAGATCCACATTCATGTTTTGGGATTTTGCCAGCACACTTGTTCTCAAGATGTCTCTGTCCTGGAGTTGTAGTTCTGAGGACCTCTTGACCACCACCACCTCCCTGGTCTCCTCGGCCCCTGAAGACTGGGATTCATAGCTCATCTCCAACCTTGCTACACTAGGGCTCGGGCCTCCTAGGGCACATCGTGCACTCTCCTCCCCTGGCCCCTTCCTGGCCACTGACTGACTTGGAGTCAGCTCTAGGATGCTTCTCTGGGCCCCCAGGACACTCCTGCTCTCCCAGGCTCTGCCCACGATGCTGGGTGTGAGGGGCTGAAAAGGCTGCCTGCCCTCCTGTCCACTTTGAGTGGCCTCTGAGGGCCCATGGTCCTTACGAGCTGGGTCCCATCTCAAGGTCCTCTGAACTTCCTTACCCACAGGTGAGGGGGCCGGGAGAGGGCTCTCCAGGGTGGATTCTGACTTCTTCTCCGTTGTCTTCTCTCCCCGGCCTGCCTGGGGGTTTTCTCCCCAGAATTTGGCAGCTTTGGCTCTTGAGCTGGTCCAAGATTCATGGGTGGCTGAGCAGGGAAAGGCAGACTGACGAAGGGACGAGGATTGGGCCTTTCTTGTCTTCAAGAGATTGATGGTCTCAAGGACTTTGAGGGGTAGGCACCACCTGTGCCTCATCTGAAACCTTGACATATGTGCTTCCAGCATCTGTAGAGTACCTGGATCAAGAAAGAAAAGCTCCTGGGTGGTGTTCATGCAGTGTTCCTGACCTTCCAAGGATGCCAGGTTTCCAGTTTCTATGTGCATGTCGGACTTGGGCAAAGTATGGCTGGCAGCAAGTCGGGAACAGCGCACACTTACAGGGATCTGACCTTCGATAATCTGCTCCAACTTCCTGCCCAAATGGACTACCAGGGTGTTTTCTAGTGGTTTCTTGTTTGGCTCCCTTAGTTTGTAATTTCCAGAGTCAATCTCCAATTGCCTCATCGACTCACTTTTTGGCTCCTTCTCAGAGTCTGCCCCTAGAAACTTCACTGGGGAGTTTTCTGATCTCTCGGATGTATTATATTTTGGAACCTTCCTCAGACTATGCCTCAGATCCTTGACCGGGTCCTTCCCTGGCTGGGAATTTGCCCTGTGGCAGACATGGGAGCTTCCTAAGTGTCTGAATCGTCCTGGGTATCTAGTCTTCTTTATGTTCTTCCTGCTTTCAGAGGGCCGTGACAGTCCATGCTGGTTCTTCGCCTGACACATCCCTGGTAATTTTCCCTGAGGCTGCATCAGCTCCAGAGACTCTTGGATCCCACCAGGCAGGCCCCACTGCTGTTGGATGAATCTTTCTTGGAGGTGTTGCTCCAGCTGCCTCCGGAGCTCAGGGCTGATAAAATCCCCAGGAAGGATGGAATCTGACTTGTGGGCCTCGGAGGTCCGACTGTCCTGGGGAAGGATGGGACTGAGAGAACCAAAAGCTGCCTGAGATCTTTGGACCACAGAGGGTAAAGAACTCTCACTTTCCAGTTGCTTCTTCAAAAAATGACATTCCAGATACTGAATTACACTTGGGATGGATGACTGGGCCTCATTCTGGATTGTATGGCAGGATTCTTCACAGGCCCTAGTCCGAGAAGTAGAAGAAAGTAGTGCAGTTGGGACAGAGGGTTGGGGATGGGCCTGGATCAGGACTGGAGCCAGAGGAGGGGCCTGGGGTTGGGGCATAGTTGGAGTCAAAGGCTGGAGTTGGGCCTCAGGGTGGGGCAAGGGCTGTGGTTGCAAAAACAGTGGGGATTCTTTAGCTTGCATTTGACTTGGTAAGGCATTAGAGATTCCATTGAATAAAACAGAGGGAAGCTCTAGAGTGGAACAAGAGAGCCTGACAGCAGCCACCAGGGACTCGCTGTGCAAAAAGGGGAGACCCCAGAAGAGCTGGCTGTATTTCTGCTGTAAATGGTCCCCCAGGGCCTCAGGACGTGGGGGCGTCAGAGGACTGGGTAGCTGCTCTGGTGTGATGTTGGTGTTCCAGAAGGGCTGGGGATGCATAATGTCCTGCTCATCACCAAATGTCTTCAACATATTTTGTAAAGAATTCAGGTGGTGGTCAGATCCCTCCTTCTCTTTTTCTTTCCAAAGCTTCAATTCTGCTCTCTTTGTGATTTGTATTTCCAGCAGCTTCTGGACATCAGGGTTGAAGAAAGCAGGACTCCCAGCTTCCACCTGCCTGTCTGTGGGGCCTCCCCAGACAGCAGCTTCTTGTGGGTGGCAGGAAGTATGCTCTTGCGGGACTTGGAAGCGTTTCGAGGTGGAGAGGCACAAGGCCTTGGCAGCCGCATGCCACCAAGAGAGGGTGGGAATGGGATGGCTTGTGGGGTCAAGGCCTGTGATCGCTGGGACAGAAGCTAACCAGCAGCTGTCTGGAGATGGGCCCTCCTGGGCGGGGCCTGGTGGGACCGCCATTGCCATAGAGCCACACTGAGAAAGGGTCAAAGTGGCTTCTGGTGGTGGTGAAGCAGAGGCTGTTGGTGACCGAAGGCTGGCAAATGAATCAAGGCGGTGTGGTGGGGAAGGGGGCAGTGCAGGTGGTGGGGGTGAAAGGCTGTCAAGGGGAAGAGGTGGCTCTGGTGGGGGAGAGGCACTCAGTGAGGGGGGAAGATCAGAAACTGAGAGGGTCATCAGGTCCGGTGAAACGGTGGAGGTCAGAGGTCGAGGGGACTGGGCTTGAGGGGCTGCAGAAGCGGAAGGGGGCACCACGGAAGCAGCATCATCTGGGGATTCCGCACATGGTCCACAGGCTTCAGCAGGCGCTCTTTTGGGCACCCCACCAGAGGGGTCTCGACATTTCCCTTGAGGAAAGCCGCCCTTGTCAGGGGGCTTTTCCATGTGGCTGCAGGAGGCAGGAGACAGGAGGACCAGGAGTCCAAGGGCCAGGAGGGCCTGGGAGGCATAGCAGGGATGGGGGCACCTGGGGCGCACGCCCCGCCCCACCCCATGCCCTGACGTCACCCGCCCCGCCCCACACCCTGACGTCACCACACTCCTGCTCTTCCTCCCCCACGGGCTTGCATCCCATGTCATCCTAGCTGCCCTGCAGCCTTGGGGTCAATCAGTACCCCGGGTAGAAAGATGGACAGAGGAGAGAATGGGAAGGGTTACTCACTTTCGCAGAAGCGAAATCAGGCTCCGAGCTTCATGTAAGTCTTTCAAGCAACTTCTGCAAGCTAGAAATAAGAAGAGCGGGTTATGGTACTGAAGGGCAGGGCCTCGGGACCTCACAGGACCTGAGTGGAATGTCCCTGAGGGGACACCGTCCTTACTGGAGACTGAGTGGAATGTCCCTGAGGGGACACCGTCCTTACTGGAGACTGAGTGGAATGTCCCTGAGGGGACACCGTCCTTACTGGAGACTGAGTGGAATGTCCCTGAGGGGACACCGTCCTTACAGGAGACTGAGTAGACTGTCCCTGAGGGGACACCGTCCTTACCGGAAGCTGAGTGGAATGTCCCTCAGGAGATGCCGTCAGGAGGTTAGCCTCCGAGAGCCCGAGGTCACATGATCGCTGACCGTCAGAGCGAGGCTCACGTGAAGTGGTTTGTTATTTAGAAAGTGCTTGCCCGTCCATTATCCCCAGTGACATCTCCATGAGGAACGTGAGCCTTGGCAAAGTTAAACAGCTTGTCCCGGTTGGAATTGTTCCATCTCCAGACCCACCAGTTACCTGGTCATTACGTCCTACACCGCCCCCTGCTTGGCGACACCACTGCGAGGCCCCCCCATGGCTTTGTCCCCTCGAAGGCCCAGCACGGAATATGAGAAGTAGCCGGGTTCTGATTCCCCCCTGCAGGAGGCCTCCCTCTCGGGGCTGTTACCTGAGAGGGACGTGCTCCAGTAACTGGCACCCTCCGAGCCCCGGGACCAGCCCTCAGGGACAGGAGAGGTTAGGGTTAACCTGGGAGCTCGGTTGAGTGGGCAGAATCTTACCTTTTACGGCTTCACTTTTGTTCTTCCTGCTCCTTCTTCTTGTCTCCACTTGAGGCTGAGATACACGAAAAGAATGAGGGGCTGGGACCCAATTCTCACTGTTCTGTATGACAAGTCGCAGACATTTCGTATTCATGAATGAAATGACTTTCTACATTGAATTAACAGAACTCTGGTCCACCCCCCCACCCCTTTATTCGTATTTACAGAAGATAAAAACATTTTCTGTGTGAGATCTAGCCTGTATTTCTTCCGTCACCATTCCTCTGCTCAAGTAGAGCTCAGACTCTCAGACCTACAGATGACCTCTGTGCTCCATCAGGTAGGATTTTGCCTCTGGAGACCAGAGCTTGGCTCTGGGCCCTGATCAGAGGCTCTCAGAGGCTCAGCACTGCTCCACAGATGAGTCCTGACCCAGAGGAAGGGCTTGGCCCAGAGACACCTGCCACGAGAGGGTGACCGATAAACCAGTGTTGAGGGCTCCAGCCTCCTGAACTCTCAGTAACCGAGTCCTCAGCCACTGAGTCACTGTGTTTGGGATTTTACCCCGGAGTCCTCTACCATACCCAAGCAGATTGATCTTCAGATAGAAATCCTGGTGCCCACTGTAGCCCCTGCCCTTTCCAGCCTGTCCCTAGAAGGCTGATGTTCTATTCTTTCCTGAGGTTTCCCGTCTCAGGAGTCTCTCTAGTTGGTTTAGAAAATGGAAAAAGAAATAGAAAAGAGAATCAATCTCTCTTCGGGTTGGATGGAGAGTTTCTTACCTTCTTGATGTTTGTATTTTTCTTAGGTGGTGGTAACAGTTGATAACTTGGTAGGTAGGGAAGTAACAGGAGGAAGAGCCCCACTCCACACAGGAAGGCCAAGACAGTGAGCCAGGAAATGGAGCTGTAGGTCAGCAATGTAGCACTAACCCTTTCCAGAGGAAAGAGATAATTTCCCATCGTCTGAATCCTACTGTTGTTCTCAGGCAACTGGGCACTATGAGCACACTCTGGCCTAGAAGTCCAGGCCCACATCATAGAGCTATGACCTCATCACAAAGGATTCTTGACTGTGGGGGAGGGGACAAGAGAAGCCTGAATCCACAGCCCCTCTCTCTACCTTCCAGCTCATCAGATCCTTCCACCCTCTTGGGCCTTCTAGATCCCTCCACCCTTCTCTGGGCCTTCCAAATTCACCATCTTGTCCTGTCATAGATGTATCTTAGTGCAATTTCCTATTCATTCCACCTGTAACCTAGATATTACCTAATTCTTTGGAGATCTTGCCTTGAGCATGACCAATTTCATAACGTTTGAATATCTGAAGTTATCCCTGGAATGCTTTTGCTAATTCCTAGAGATTTTTGCTTTCAGTATCTCCACTGTCCTCAACTCCAGCTTTCTCAAATAATATGTTTTGCCTTGTCTTAACCCAGACATGGAATTTAGATTTATTTTATACTTAGCTTTGTGAATTTTTAATAAAAAACTTAGCATTTGCCATCTTTGACCAGAGGGACTTATTCATAAATTAATACTTATTCAAAATTCACAAAACTAAATAAGTATAATGCAAATGGAAATAATGAAACCTTCAAAAGATATGTTTTATAAGTTTCTTGCATTTTTTGCTTCTGAAATCAATAAAAGTTAAACTGCACAAAAACTTTTGGAACAGTCTTTACACACACACTTTGACAAATCAATTCAGTTTTTTCAAACCTAATAATCAAACATTTCTTTCAGTTCAAAAGCTTTCTTTTAGTGTTATTTGTAAAGCAGGACTGCTAGCAGTGAATTGTCTCAGTCTTTGTTTATCTGGGAGTATCAATATCTTGCCTTCATTTTTAAAGGATAGTTTTGCTAGATATAAAATCCTTGGCTGGCATTTTTTTTTTCTTTCAGCTTTCTGAATATGTTATTTTGTTGCTTGCTTTCTTCCATTGTTTCTGATGGGGAGTCAGCTGTTAATCTTATTTTGGTCTCCTTGTACATGAAGAGTGGCTTTTCTCTGGCTGTTTTCAAGATTTTCCTCTTTGTTTTTGTGTTGCAACAGTTTGACTGATGTGTCTAAGAGTGGATGTGCTTGTTTTTATTTCACTATGAGTAAATCTGTAGATTGTTTTTCATCAAATTCGTAAGTTTTCAGCTGTTATTTCTTCAAACATTTTTTCTTCTTCCTCATTTTCTCCTTTATTTCTGAGACTTTCATTTTACATATGTTGATGTAGCTGGTGATATTTCACAGGCCATTTTTCTTCAATCTCTTTTCTCTTGGTTCTTCAGATTGCATAATTTCTAGTAATCCATCTTCAAGTTTACTGATTCTTTATTCTGACATCTCAAATGAACTGTTGAGCCCTTCTTATGAATTTTTCATTTCAGTTATTGCATTTTTCAAATCCATAATTTCCATTTAGTTCTTTTTGAAAATTATTTTTAGCGCTTCATTGGTTTTCCTTATTTGTTGTTTCATTGTCCTTGTAATTTCTTTTAATTCTTTAATCATGATTTTCTTTACTTTGTTTAACATATTTACAATAAGTGCTTTGAAGTCTTTCTTTGCTAAATCCAACATCTGGGGACCCTAAAAGACATTTTTCTATTGACTGTGTTTTTGACCTGAGTATGGTTTAAACTTTCTTATTTCTTTTCATGACTTGTAATCTTTTATTAAATACTGGACATTTTAGATAACATTGTAGCAACTCTTGATTCTGATTTTCCCTCTCAGAGTTGTTGTTGTTGTGGTTATTGTTTTGTTTGATTTTTGTTTGTTAAGTAACTTGCCTGGGCAAAGTCTGTGAATTCTGTCTACAACGTGTGGCCACAGATGGCTCTGTCTTATTATTATTATTTAAATGCATGGCTTGCCAGGAGTTTCCCCTTTGTCTGTATACTTGGTATTGAGCCAACAGTTGTTAAAAGTTGTACTCAAACACCTTGATCCAGTGAAACTTCCACTCTTAAGGATCTCTGTGTGGGCTGGGGAGTGCATTCAAAGGCTATTATCAAGACTTTCCTGGATTTTACTTTCTGCCAGGCTCTCTTGCATTTTCTCTGCACACGCACTCAGGATAATTTGTTAGCCAAGAATGTGTGGGTGATTTGGTTATGCTCTGTTCTTTGTTGAGGCTAGCAGAGTTACTGGTCCTCCTTGTTTATTTGCCATCAAGATCGCCACTATGGATAAAAATGCTGAAAATCATCCATGCTTCTCTGGCAGTGAGAGCAAAGCTGCTGCTGTTCATGGCTTGCCCCAGCCTGATTGAACTACCATACTGGCAAAGCTTGGAGTTGAGGGGATTTTAATTCCCCCATGGAAAGAATGCCACAGACTTGAATTGTTCCAACCCATAATTCAGTAGTTTCCACAAATAATCATTTATCGATTTATTGTATTTTTTTGGTCAATTTCCAAAGTAATAAAGCTGTTGTTTTTGACAGTTTTGTCCAGCTTTATAATTGCTCTTTGGGGAGAGAATTGTTTGAGCTCTTGACTCTGTCATGCAAGACAAATGGTCCACAGAGGTACCCCATCCTGTTTTGTGAATTATTTCCTCTCCCCCACTTGCTGCTGCCCCACAGCAGTCTCTGGCACATAGTAAGGTAATTGTGATAGACTACTACATTAATAGCTCCTGGCTGGCACAAATGGTTAAGTGTTTGACTACTAACAAAAAGGTTGGTGGTTCGAACCTGCCCACAGGGACCTTGGAAGAAATGCCAGGAGATCTGTTTCTCAAAATTCACAGCCATGAAAATCCTATGGCGCACACATGGGGTCGCTATAAGTCAGAATAGACTCAACAGCAGCTGGTTAGGATTTCTTTTTCTTTTTGGTCACTTTGATGGTCCCCAATGAATCATATCTCCCAATATTTACAACCTTGTGTAGTTGCTTGCCACCATGACTTTGGTCTTGGATATGTGACTCAATTTGACCAATGGGTCATCAAAATTTTGTGTAAGCAGAGGCTGGAAAAGAACTTGGAAATTGGGCTTGCCCTCTTTGAACACAGCTGTCATGTACAGAAGCTTGGTCTAGCATAGTGGAGGATGAATAACCACCTGGAGACAGAAGTCTCAGCCTTCTAGTCATCCAATCCAAG